TCTTAAATGGATAACGAACACGAGAACACCACATTTCTGGTGTTTCATTACTATAGCTATATTGCAGATTGTTTAACACCTGCGATACTACAGGACTAAAACCATTATAGTTGTTAGATTTAGCCATTCTACGGGTATAAGAAGTTTATAGCAATTTATAGCAATTTTATCAATTATAATGGGTTTTATCAACTTATACTATAAAATGTTACGATTCAAATTTTTTTCCCTTTTTTATGCCTGAGAAAAATACTAAATCGATCACTAGTCATTGTGCACCGATAGAAAATCACTATGTGTAACATGAGTTCCAGGCAAGTTCCAGGCACTAGAATGGCGCTGGAGATGAAATAGCCAAAGGCGCTTCGCATAATTTGTTAAAAAAATAAGTCTCGATGTGGGGGTAAACAAATTCTTTATTATACTAAAAAATTTCAGAATACAAATACAAGTGTTGAGGGTCGGAACAGTGTCACGTAACTGTGGCGCAGTAATTATCACTAATCCTCGAAATTTTGTGATATATGCAACCTCACTTCCTTGCTGAAGTCAGAGAATAAGATTTCTTTTTGAACATATGTAACCGGAAGAAGCGAAAAAGGTCTATGCTAGTCTATTTATAATTACAGTGCTATGGTAAGAAAATAAGGATCGATGGTGTATCATATGATAATCGTTCACAATTGCCACCAATAACGACAGCCATGTGATATCATAGATCATTAACATAATAGCCGGAGTGAGATTCCTGTGATAGATACTGTATTTTAGAACTCTATTATGCGGTTTATTACAAAATAACTTGGTCCAAAAAAATCATATTATTTCATGGCGTCCGAAGGATCTTAGCATACAACATTGTTATACATTATAAAAAATAATAAGCCCTTAAATTTTTATTAATTTTTTCAGATACAGTACTTGCAGGGTTGGAAAAAACGAAACATTCGTACAATTGTCCCTCTGTCTTGATTATTAGTAATAATCACAAATCGTAGAATATACGTTTATAAAAGCGTAAAAACATTATTGTTTTTTTTTGATGATATATTTCTTGTTATAAGGTAAAAAGATTATACAGATTGTGATAAAAAAACCGCAATTATTAATCAAGAATGATATAAAGCTTTAACTAGTTCGTGTCTTCTTAATGCGTCCGGGAGAATATATCATTCTAGTTGTCATTTTTGTCATTTGAGTATTCTTGCCCGTATCGTAATCATTCCACAAAAAGTCTTTGATAGTTTCCGAACTTTCGGATAGTAACCGCTAATTTAGGAGAATGTTAGTTTCATATTTACACAATTTTTTTTTTCTATATTCATTTATACAAACCTCATATTTCAAAAGGTCGATTATGATCTCACAAGCACCTTTCATGTCTTTCCACGATTTTGGGAAGGGAATTTTTAATACCTCTATCATTGTATAGACTTCAGCGTATTTGAGACGGAATTCGTAGACAGTCAACTGATTTACTGTAAATTCAAAAGTTAATAACTCAAAAATAACAAGCGACAATTACAAATAAGGACTTACAATACGATTGCATCGCATAAAGTTTAATTTTTCTAATGTTAGAATTCGGACGAAGTTCCGCTAGTCTATTCATCAAGGTCTTCAACATTTTAATAATTTTCATTCGGTCACCTTTAAAGTGCGTCCAATCTTGTTTTAAGGGAGGCCCACTAACTTCAACGACAGAGAATTCCTCATCTTCCTCCTTTAAAGTAATGATCGTGTCTATCTTTTTTTCCAGGAGATCGGCGATTGTCATCCTCCTTTTGATCATTATATCTCTTAGCGCTTGCTTTAAGGCATGTTTCTCCGTACTTAGCACGCCAATCCGGTTTATGTTTAATAAAAAATTGGTCAAAAATTGGTCCTAGAACACTAACAATGTAGGTTCCTTCTGACATGGGCTCGAGAAGCAAATTTGATCCTTCCATCAGCTTTATCCTGTACAAATAATGATTAGCCTTACATTAGAAATATACAACAAATGTAACAAATGTAAATAAAGACTCACATATGATCTATAAAATTCAATGCGAAAACTTTTTCGAAAGAATTGTTGTGATCTTTATACTGTTGAAATTTGTTTTTAGTCTTGCTAATATCACGTAAAATAATTCCATCTAGTAACGATTTGATCTTTTGTTTTATATTATCTTGTGTCTCTTCTGTCTCTTCTTCCTCCTCCTTTATATCTTCAAGCATTCGTGCAACAGAATCTTTTCCTAGTGTCTCTAGAAATCCATTTTTATCTATTACATTGAAAAAAATTACGTCATAATATTCAGGCTTTGTTTTTGGTGGTTTCTTTTTCAGTTGATATTCAGTTAATTCTTGTCGAATGTTGAGATCATTTACAACCCAAGAAATATTTTCCCTCCAATGACGGTTTGATCCGCGTTATATTCTTCCTCAGAATTGTCTTCTTCCTCTTCACGATCATGTTTGCTACCAGCTAGAAAAGGATTCAAACTAACTTGGTTAACATCGTGTCTTGACTGTTCTGGTAATGGAGATTGTTCCAAAGGAGATTGTCCTAATGGATATTGTTCTGGTGATGCACTATAATATTTCATAATTTGCTGTTTCGGTGTCTCAAATTTACATACAGAAGCATCGCTTGAGCAAACGTTACGTTTAACGTGGCATTCGCAGATTTTGCGGTATCAACTAATAGTGCGAGCTATATATAATTTTAAGTATGGCTTAGTAAAAAGACATACGATATGTTTAAATAATTTCAATTAGCTTACCCTATCTTGGAAAATAACGGACCTAGCCGAATAAGAATTGTTTTTATTTTCGAGAGCTTCTAGCATTTTTAAATTTTGCTTTTTCTGTTCTTTATAAGAAAAGAGCAACTCTTTTGCCTTATCTTTTTGCTTATCGTCAAATTCGGGCATATTGCAAATATTTTTCAATCCTTCCTTATAAAAATATAAGCAGTTCTTCCTGGTAAATTTAGATTCTTCAAACGATTTGGCAAAAGAGCATAAGTCCCAATTTTCGAGTGAGTTAATAACAAAATATGGGTCAACAAAGCCTTTCATCGTGCCCGGTTTCAACTCTGTAAGAGTCATTGGTCGTTATATTGGTGAATTTGGTCGCGTTAAAGTTCTAAAAATTACACGTCATGACCCCTGAAAGATAAGCGCGGTTTTTATGATCACTGATCACGTGACAGTTATATTGCTTATAGTAGGATCGGCATCGTGCATGGATTGAAAACCGCGCCCACAAAACTAGTTTTTCAATATCACGTGATTTCTGCGTCGCATTACATATCTGATATTAGAGCGCGTTGAAACTTTGTATCTTATCGCAAGACACGGAAACGGCGTGTACCTTCATGAGTATTCAATAATTCGTCCTAAGCCTATTTTCTTGCGACGATGGGTTAGGTTCTTGCGAACGGACAATTATCACGTGTGCCTTGTCCTAAGTCCATTTTCTTTTGACGATGGGTTAGTTCTTGAGATGGACGGGCTCTGCCTTGCGATTTATTAACAAACCAAATCATATTTATACGTATAGTTAAAAAGATGAGATGAAATTTATTATTATTTTAAGTAGAATATTGTAAGAGAAAGTGCTAGAGAAGCGAGTGAAATATATGCTATCAAAGAGGGAGGGAGTACGCGGATCCTAGGCCATTTAATGCGAGTCCCAGCATCAAGTTATTTCTTTGCTCTATTGTAAATTTCTATTCTAATTGTTTTTTCCTATCACTATTGCTAACTACGAGATTTTTACACCGATACTCTTTTTCTACACTAGATTTCCGAAATAAAATATCCCATACAAATTTTCGCATATCTATATCACCCCCACCCACACAGACAATATAAAATAATATTCCCTGTAAAAAAACTTCGAGATTAGGTAATTTCGAACCTACAGCATAAATCGGGGATTAGCAATTGAGATAAAAAATAAGGCAATGTAATATACACTTACCGTTACTATTAATTTTCGCAACATTCCATTTCGCCTGAAATTTATTGCTTAACGCATTATAATAAAGGTATTTCGATTTTTTTATCGCACGCACGATACTGCGCAGAATTCAGCAAGTCATGATTCCTGATATACCGCGCCAGACCTTTGCTGTGAAGTTGCATGTGACGAGATTCATGTGAATAGTTTCACTGCATCTATTGTACGCGTGATGATTTTCTCGGCGAAGATCAGAATGCCGATACATAGCAAGAGTAATATATCCGTTTTATTTTGGAACATCTATAGAGACAGGAAAATCGATTAACATAGTGATGATATGTTTCAAGAAGCTAGCCGAGCAACAAAACCAACATACCTTGATATTAATTTGCGGAATATACGAGTTTTTTTGATTGTTGATTTCGATGATGTTGATAGTGGTAGGTTTAAGTTTTCGCTTTTCCTTGATCTTTGATCTGCGAAAGAAAAAAGTTATCTTTTACTTCGAGTTGCAGAGTAATATATAGTTATTATCTGTTTCTTTTTTCCGAATCTAGGAGGAAAAAAGGATTTTTTGCTTATATTTGCACAAGGCGGATAAAAAAATTCACTAACTGGGGGGCGGACACCTTTTTATATAATTTACAATAGGTCTAAAATTGACAGGGCTTTTGGAATACGCTTTGGACGATCACATCATCATAGTAGTAATTACTCAAAATGCGCTACCCATATTCTATTGTATTCGCAAAAAAGTATAAAAAAATGGAATAATAGTGTATACGCATAATATTGGATGGGCTAACGTCAACAGGGTAATACATCCATTCCGAGATCTGATTTACAAATTTAATCATCATGATAGGCATGTATAATATACAAATTCAAGGGGCAGTTATTTCAAAGTTGTGTGATGAACATATATGCCAGAACATTCGAGCGCCATAACTCATAAGGCGCTTCGTATGATGAATATAACATCTTTTTCTTGGCCGGTTTTTTAATAGATCGATCGTATTGCGACCCTGCCTTTAAAAATAGACATATGTGACGTGATTACTACGCGTAATGTATATACTGCGAGTGTTACATATGCGGAAAGCTTCTTTATTATCATAAATCAAAAGATTCATTATTCCACAAGATTATGTGATTTTTAACTCGAATGTAAGATTAAATATTACCCAATTACTCACGCGAAAAAATAATCAACTTTTATAGTAATGAAAAGTTTTTTTATTACAATATCAGATATAACGCGAGCTACCACGCAAAATAAAATACAAAGTTCGGGACTTTAGTCCTATAAATATTTACCAATTATAACCAGATTCATCCATATCAATGTATTTGTGAACATTTTTTAAATTTTCCACAAATTCAGATTCAGTTGGTGAGGAATCTCCTTCATCCTTGTTTCCATATTCAGGTCCATTTTCACCTGCATTCTCGTTGTTTACGTTGTTTATATGAAAATCAGATTTCATGTAATTTAAATGATTATCAAG